GAAAGCAGTTCATCAGGGAGTAAGGAGGAGACTCTGATCTGTCTCTATGGAATGAACCATCATGAAAACTCCTCCAACAACTGCTCCTTGATAAGAACAAACAAGTATTGACAATGATGAGGTATTATCCTGTTCTTCAAATAGCTCAAATGATTCTAGCTGTTCCAGTGTAGACATGGAGGCATTACTCCATCAATTTGAAAACTTTCAAAAGGATCATCTTCTTTTAATGAACGAAAACTGTAGACTTCAAGAAAATCTAATAGTAGCCCAAGCTCAAATGGGTGAAGTGATAAAGATGAAAGATTTTCTTGAACTCGAAAACATCGTTTTAAAAGAAAGGCTGAGCTCCCTCACCATTTCTATTGGTGAGGAAATCCAAAACAAGAAGAACACAGGATCAGGAGACACACCATTAGCCCAACCATTGAAACACTCTCCTAAATACTCTCCTATCACACAACCCACCCCTGATCTACTAGACACAAGGAATTCTAATCACCAACCACCTCACTCCCAAACTATGTCAAAGAAAAGGACTCAGTCCTCCTCCAGACCAAGATCCAAACTTCCCTACAAATTCAACTCCCTAAATAACCAACCAAATCAAAGGATCGGTTGGCAACCAATGACAAAGACCACCAACACATTTCCCAAAAAGCTGATGACTTGTGAAACTCATATTCCTTCTCCCCCACACACAAGGAATGATGAACACAAACATATAGCCTTTCCTCATGGACACACAAATCCACACGGCTATAGACCCATCAGCTCAAATCCAAATGGTCCTAAATTGGTATGGATGCCCAAGCGCATTCAAGGGAAGATGCCCACAAACTTGTGGGCTGTTACTCAAAACTGATGAAAACGGGAAGGTGCTGGATAACCAACTTTGAAAAAGATTTATCTTCAAGCTACTCCATGCACATGATAGTTAGCAGGGGGCTACTATCAAGTTATGAGATCTGGAAGAAGGACCCAATTTTACAAATTGGGAATGAGAAGAAAACGGAGAAACAAGGGAGCTGGAAGATCCAAATCAAATGCGAACTCTCAATCCAACCTAGGATTGAAGTTCAAACTCAAAAAGCACAAGCCAGCTCCAAGATAGTATTCACAATATGACATTCTCCATGGACATCTGCTTAGATGCCCAAAACGAAGTTGTGCTAACTGGTAAAGAGATAAGACGAAGCATGGTATTGATTGGAGTTTACAAAAGAATGAATCTGCTCTCCAAAAGCAGGTTCATACATGAGTTGACAATGGCATCACATAATAGCCATATCAAACTCAAAAATCATCAAGTGGTACCATCAGGTGGTATCATCAAGTGAGATCTCCATCTCAATTACAGAACTCAAATAAGTAATTGAGCAAACCATGCAAGGGACTTTTTCTTGAAGAAACACTGGAAAGGCTCCAAGCTGCGCTCCCAGTAAAGGAAGCTCAAAGACCACTGAACTCTGGAATCAGCAGTTGACTCATGTAAGCAGACCACTGCCAGCAGAGGACTACAATGGGAAATCACTGCCAGCAGTTGCCTCATTCAAAATCAACTGTCCAGACGCTTCAGCTAAATTAAGCACAAAGGCTTAAAAGATCCCAATCTTCACTCTACCAGATGATAAAGGAGGATGAGCAGGTAACTCAAATAAACCATATTGGTTGAACCTACATCCTCCTCTGAAAATTATTGATAACTGGAGAAGCCCTACTAAACTCTGACTGAACACATGCTATGAAAGAAGAACTCAAAGAACATTTCCTGAAAGCTTGTGTCCAGATCCTATCATCATCAAGTGATAGGAACAAAAAGGGTCTCCAAAAATAAAGGAAGGAAGGCATCATTGTTGAGGATAAGGTAAAACTTGTGGCAAAAGGGTACTACAAAGAAGGACTAGATTTTGATAAAACCCCTGCCCAAAGTTGCCCCAGTAACGTCTTACTATCAGAATGAGAGTTGCTTCTCTCTCTTCTATGGTTCACTAATAAGGTTCTCTGTTGAGGCTCTCTGTTGAGGTTCTTTGTTAAAATTCTCTGATGAGGATCTCTATTAAGGTTCTCTGTTGAGGTTCTCTGTCAAGGTTCTCTGATGAGGTTCTCTGTTGAAATTATCTCTGAAGAGGATCTCTGGTAACCCAACACCCCAACCTCTGATAAAGCATTCTAAACTCAACAGAAGTACTCCAACAGTACTCAACGTATTCTGGGTCATTACAACATCACCATCTAACATCCTTAACAATGTGCTGCCCACAAGAAAATTCACATACTGGATGTGCCTTCCTCAAAACGGTCTACTAAGAAAAGGACTACGTGGAGCAGTCCCCTTGATTTGAAATTACTAGAGATGAAGCATACAAAATTAATCATTCTCTGGAGTCAGGCAAACTCCAAAAGAATGGTTAACAACACTCTCTAAACATTTTGTGAAATATGGGTTCACAAAAGACAAAGTAGACAACATTCTATTTAAAGCATGAATCCACAAAGTCTCCACATCAAACCAAGCAAGTGAGTGAAGCAAGACTCAATTCATCTTGACAAAAGCTTGGGATGATAATCGAAGAAGAGGAATTACCCCGTACCATTCAGGGGGAACTCAACTCATAAATTGAGGGAGAATTCCTAGGCATCTGTTGAGGGGGAACTCTAACCCCAACTCTTAACGGAAGTCACTTGCTCATCTACTCAAATTTCGAGCAACAAACTCAGCAGGTGACTGACTTTCACAACAGCAGGTGACTGCCCATCAAGCCCACTGCTACATTCTCCATTACCAACCAGCCACCAGGAAGAAAGAAAGGAGGTAGCATCTCTCTTACAGCAGTTGCCTCCCCTTTACCAAAATCCAAAAAGAAGCAGAGGACTCTTCCACATCTTTCAAATGTCATCAATGACTCTGCTCTCTTATTCTTCATGCTTTGATCCTGAGTCAAAGCAAGTGGCTCAATCAAGCAGATGACTTGCCCAGAAGTATAGCAGGTCACTCCAATGAACAATCAGCAAAGGCTCCAAGAAAGACAAACCGAGGATCCAAACAAACAAGCTTTAAATACAAAAACCATCATATTCAGGAAGGGAAGAGGATTTAAACTTGCTGGGACCAAGGAACATGCTGCAACCATATTAGGAACCTGGAAGTCATAATCACTGGAGAACATGAGGAAAACCTAGCTCAAAAACTGCTGAAGATATCACCTACCATACCAAAAAGGTACGATCTTGATCCACATCCAGTAGTATACTCATATCTGGATTGAAAAGGGAATGCTACTGTTTTAAACTTTAGGAATGTCCATCCTAAAGGTAATCTCCAAAGATACATAGCTCCTTATTTTAATTGACTACTGTCGAAACTTTAGCCATAATCAAGCTAAAACAGTATCCGAGAATTATCCATTTATGAGATATACAAGGCATGCAGAAGGGAATAAAAGACAACATCAAGGAAAGAGGCCTCATAAATGATAACCAAAATCATTTAATAAAGTTTCTCACTCCTTCTCTTAAAAAGAGAATTCGCCGTTTAAACATTTATTGAAAAGCATCTCGGTTACATAATCAAATCTCGAAAATCAAAAAGACAACCCGAATGCCTGGATATAAATCCATCTTCTCGAGCGAATTGTCAGTCCACTCCCAATTCTTGCACCTCATCTTCTTCAAACCGCAAAAATCCTAAAATGGCCAACAATACCTCAACCAACCCATCTTCAGAAACGTTCCTTGAACTATCTCTAGCTCAACCATTCTCCAACGAGCAATCAAGATTGACGCCACCTCAACAGGATCAAGATGACTTCTTAGAGACAAAAATCCTGGCTCTCAGAAAAAGGGAGGCTCTCGAAAATCAACTTAAGAGAGCTCTCAACTGGAGAAAATGGAGAATGACTCCTATGGACGTGCTCTCCAGCGCTACGGCATTTGTACGAAGTGAAGAACAATTCGTTCTTCAGTGGCTTCAAGTGACAAACATCGAAGCTGCCATGTCAATGTCGTTAATTTGGAGAGTCTTCTATGAAAAGATGAAGATACTCAGAAATGAGGAAATTCATCAAATGAGGAGAAGATTCCCAAACTACGTCCCTGGGGAGACATCAAGCAGAAGAAGAAGAACTGAATAAATGGTGAATGCTACCAAAAGAGGGGGAAGAAAGAAGTCAAACGTTTTGTTATGTTTCTTGTTCCAAATTAGAAAGTTTGACTTTTATCTTCTTTTGGCATCATCACAAAAGGGGGAAATTGTTAGACCCTAGATTTTGATATAACGATTTTGATGATGCCATCCCCATCTCTTGTAGCATTCAAATGTTTGTATTTTACTCTCTAGTAGATTCATCTTTTGCAAAAGACTTGTTTGAAAGTGTCCTGTCCAAAAGACTAATGAACAAATAAATTTAACTGGAAAAGAAAATGCAATAAGGTAATATTCTTTTACCTTAAACGGATGCCTTACAAATCCAACCAGTTAAATTTATTTTGTTTCATAAGAAGCACTAAAAGATTTTGAACAAACAAATTAATTAAACTGGAACACAAAAATGCAATAAGGTATTAATCTTTACCTTAATAGGATTTTCTATCCTACCAGTTTAATTAATGGTCTAAGTTCAAAATACAAGTTGGGCCAATCACAACCAAGTATGACCAGAAGTCAAAAGAAAAATGTATGTACCAAATAAATTATACCGGAAAAGAAAAAAATGCAATAAGGTAAAAACTACCTTAAAAGGATATTTAAATCCTACCGGTATATATTTATTTGATTACGAACATTTTTATCAATAAGGCATATTGGTGTGAAAAATGTGTCAAAGAGAGAACAAATAAATGTACAATTTTTAAGTACTAATAAAATTATTACTGGACAATAAAAATGCAATAAGGTAAACTTATTTACCTTTAATAGGATATTTAAATCCTACCAGTATAATTTTATTAGACCTAAAAATTACTATGTTCTAACAAAATTACCATGACGGGTAAAACAGAGCCAGTAAATCAACAGCATGGAGAACCGACGTACAACATGGGCGTACAGTCTGAAGCCTAGAGAGAACTGCAACGGCTAGGCGGGCAAAACAAACAGAACCCATACAGCTCCGAAGAGAAAGATAAACAACAAGTTGTTTATCCTCTGCAATCAAGATTCAACGAACAAGATTGATCTATCCTAACCAACGGATAAGATCGATTGACCGGAGAGCCTATAAATATAGGCAGAAACGAAAGTTTCTAACCAAGCCTGAGCACACTAAGTAGAGAGATATTCCTTTGAGCAAAAAGTGCTGTTCTATTCACGACTCTCTACTTAGACTCTTGCTTCACTAAACTTCTTAGTATCAAGCATTCATTGTCAAAATCCTAGAAGTTTAGTTCCTAGTTGGAGGTTAGAACTTTCTTTAAACAAAACAGATTATTGTTGGGAAAACACTTCAGGAGGACAGTTGTTCCCGGCCTGAGTGTTGGTAGATAGGTCAGGAGTACCTTTTGATCCCCACTGGATCAATTGAGAAAAACCTAAAGGATTGAGTAGCTTGGAATGGTGTTGTACTCCTCGTGAAATACCTTCAATCTAGGCCAGAGTTGTCAAGGCTAGATTGACACTAAGTGTATTGGGCTTAATACATTAGTGAAATCCATTTGAAATAGGATGGGACTGGATGTAGGAGGATTACACCACCTCTGAACCAGGATATATTGTGTGTTGATTTACTTTCAGTCAACAAGACACACACTGAACACTTCTCACATAAAGATCGGAGTTTGCCAGCAGCATCCTAAGCAGTTGTCTTAATTGACTCAACTGCTTATCCTACTGCTTAATCACTCACTCTCTTTGAGATACAAGAGCTTCACAATATCATTACAAAAAGGTCTGTCTCATTAAGTTTTTCAGGAAATACCACTTAAGGCACAACAATTGCCTCAACAGTCTCCTACGGACTACACAACTGCTGAGCCCACTGCTCACCCAAACGTATTTCCTGTGAACATCTTGACACTACTAGACCTTTACATCTTTATTTCCAAGAAGTCTGTTCAAAATAATCTCTGTGATTCAGGGTGATAACCAAGCAGGTACCTCTACAGTTCCCTCACTATCACCTAACTGCCTTACACCTCTGCCTAAGCAAAACCCTCTACATACTTGGCACAAAGCACATCTTCATAAAGCCCACATCATCCTGAGCAACACCATATAATCAAACCTTCCATACCTTCACCATTACTTCAGCAGGTGCCTCAGCAGTTCCCTGGTTTCCACCCAACTGCTGAGACAACTGCTCTCATTCAATGTTGATTATCAATCCACTTCAGTACATCATCAGGAAGCTCTTCCCACTCCCAGAAAGATTCTGAATGAACCCTCATCATACTTCAAGTATTTGGTAAGCAGACGACTAAGCAATTCCCTGCTTCCTAGCCAACTGCCTAGCCAACTGCTCTCCAATAAGCAAAGACTTTCATCCATCACAGAAAGCTGTTACTCATTACATAAAGGGTAAAGACTTCCGCTGTGCATCTCTTAATCTCTCAAAAGATTATAGATCAACTCCTTTAGAGGGGAATATCTGAAAAGGTCGAAAAGATTTAAAAGTCTATTCACCCCCCCCTCTAGACTTTTACCCTATCCGGGACCATCAGAAGCTAATGGAAGATTAGGGCAAGCGAGAACACTCAAATCTACCCTCCCTTCATCTTACAATCCCATTGCAATAGCATATACTGGTCACCTCTTACAAACCTACAAAAACTGTTAGGAAATTGATGTAACGTACCTCGAAAGTACAACAACGGAAGTTTAGAATTTTCCCAAACAGATCTTCTCTGATTATGACAAAACAACGAATATAACAATAATCGTTGATCTGAGTTAGAACATAGATCTTCCAGCCTAGCGGTGATAATCCTTGACCTTAGGTATCCACGTGATTTCTCCTTTCCGAAAGAACGGTGAGATCTCCCTAAGAGAAAGGCTAGGAAATCTCTTCGCAGGGAAATAAACTGGTAATACTGAATCGGAAAACTGGTCTATGAATTATGAAGGAGGAGGATGTATTTATACTAGTTCTAAACTAGTTCCCAATCACAATGAAAGTCTGATAGGAACCCATTAGTATAATATTAGTAATAATAATAGAAGTATATTAAATAAGTGTGGTAGTGTATAAGTAAGGATCCCGGGCCATGTCATAAAATATGGGCTGGGCCGTTAGGATATATTATTACTATAAGAATGGGAAGGGGAGAAGATGAGAGTTGGGCAGAATTTGGATCTGGAATTAGGCCTTGGGAGTGTGAGATGACTCGAACTGTCTCAAACCTTTCTTCTCCTCTATTTTCTGTTTTACGCTACTGTATGTGGGTTTACTTTTATGCGACATTGTACTGGGAGGATCGGTTCCTCAGATTTTATCAATTGAACACTAAATTTCTGCTGCTTTGTTGAGTTACCTATCATTGGTATCAGAGCACTAGCTCTTGGTGATCGGAATTGATTGGCGACCTCAGCAACACTTACGTTCTGTGGTGGATGGTAAGAACAAGCGCGAAAATAGAGTTTCGCATGGATACTCTGGAACGGAATTTGGCAGAGATGAACGGGAAACTGTCCGAGGTACAAGAGATGTTACGATCATCGGTGGATGATCGGCGTACTGCAATGGAAAATTTGGCGGCAAACTTAGCGGCATCCATGGCCGCGATGAATGAACAGCTTTGATCCAGAGAGAGGCCGCGATTGCGGTCGACAACAATGTCCTTCAGTTCACCAACTATTTCTCCCAGATTGTCGCGAAATGAGCAGGTTTTTTCTAAATCACGAGAAACTCCTTCCAGTTCTCTAGTTTCATCGCTGGACTATTCTCTCAATTCGCAATCTTCTACGCGAACTACTGTTTCTCCCTACAGCTCACCATCGTGAACAGTTTTGCCTAATTCACAGATCGCGTCCCGTGCACACGTCTATTTTCCGCCGCGAGCACTTCCTTCGAGTTATCTTGCTTCTTCGCGAACGTCATCTCATAGTTCACAATCGGGAATTTCTCGGCAATCGCAGTCGCAAATAGTTTCTACCAGTTCACAGGTTTCCTTACCTATATCTACTTCCAGCTTGCAATCTTCTACGCAAGCCGTATCTCCAGGTTCGCAGACTTCGTCATACACCAGCAGCTCACTTCAAGGTACAACGCGATCAGAAGGAGGAGCTTCCAGTTCGCCCTTGCTGTCCGAGTCACATGAGTCTGGCAACCCACGGAAACCTCTCTCTGAGGATACATTCATAGGTAAAGATGAAGGACAAGAGGAGAAATCTGCTGTGGCGAATCAATTCTTGACTGCCCTGGAATATGAGTCAGCTGATGACAAAATTGTTGGTTCTGAATTGGAGAACCAGGTGATTTCTGAAAACTTTATAGTTCAGGAAGAATCAGAAGGAACTGTTATACCTTGGCAGTCGAACTTAATAGCTACAACTGCAATTATGAAACCACGGACGGAATGGATGTATGTGAACAAGGAGTGTGTACAAGCGGGACCAGTTGAGAAAGATGCTAGTGGAAGGCTATGGTCGAAGAGGGAAATTGATTGGACCACCAAGTGCTGGACTTTAGGGATGAGCAGTTGCAAGAGGCTTAACGAGATTGAGGAAAATAGATGGGCGTACGCTACCCGAGTGCCAGTTCTTACTCCACCTCAGTTTGGTGAGGCAGAATTATCCATATTGCACAATAGGGTGGCTAAACACTTAGACATAGATGATGCTGGGGAATTTGTAAAACTAACACCCCAAGGCAAGAGGGTCATGTTAAGCCCATGGTGTTTTCGTCAAATTGCACAGAATATGTTTTCTGGTGAGCCCAGAGTTGTAGAGAGTGCTACTGCCCTGCTGAAGGATGATGTTACTATGTTCATACAATTTCTCAATTCACTCCATGATGATGATGTTTGTGATCAGGCTATTTGAGCTTTGGGAAAGATTGCTGGTGAAGCCACAACCTGGTTTTTGTCAAACTCATATAGATGCAAGCCAACCCCACCATCTGACTTGGGATGTGAAGGACTTGCCAAGCTGGAAAAGATCCAAACTCATGGAAATAATGGGATGCATGAAGAAGCTGTGAGAATCTTAGAGAAATATGGGGCTGAGCAAATGACAGAGAAGGTTAAAGTAATGAAGCTCCTATTCCAGAAAGCAGCGAGGTACTGGGAAGGAAGAAGCGCAAGGATGAAAGTAAAGCTGAAAGTCCAAGCCGGTTCCTATCACCCACCTTGAGGACAAGGTGGTTGTCTAAGGGGGGAGATATGATAGGAACCCATTAGTATAATAATACTAATAATAATAGAAGTATATTAAATAAGTGTGGTAGTGTATAAGTAAGGATCCCGGGCCATGTCATAAAATATGGGCTGGGCCGTTAGGATATATTATTACTATAAGAATGGGAAGGAGAGAAGATGGGAGTTAGGCAGAAATTGGATCTGGAATTAGGCCTTAGGAGTGTGAGATGACTCTAACTGTCTCAAACCTTTCTTCTCTTCTATTTTCTGTTTTACGCTACTGTACGTGGGTTTACTGTTATGCGACATTGTACTGGGAGGATCGGTTCCTCAGATTTTATCAATTGAACACTAAATTTTTGCTGCTTTGTTGAGTTACCTATCAAAGTCTTGCTCATTAATGAGTTCTAGTCCTACCAGGACCAATACTTTATTATTAATTAAATATAAGTAGACAAAATAAAATAAAATAAAATAATAATAGCAACAACAATAGACAAGTGGCGTGCAGCCACTCTCTACTTATTGTATATATTATTATTTATTTTATTTCCTTTTCTTTTAGATTCCAAATCATAAAGAAAAATACCAACTTTATTTAATTAAAAATACATTTTAATTAAGTACAATAAATCCAATTTATTCCACTTAACTAATTCTATCAAATAGAACTCTCCTTCAACTTCATGAATTAAATATGTTTAATCTAATTAATATTTAATCCATTTTCAATATTACTAATTAAATATTATATAGTCTAACTAATAATATTTAATTCCTTCTAATAGTTTAATCGGAAGATATAATCACTACTTGTTGTGTGACTCATAGAGCCTTATATATTAAGCACTAATCAAAATAAGATCTTAGTAGAATCCCTAGACAATTTACTAGACAAACTTAATATATAAGGACGTTTGCGAGGACTATTCAAACTCCCTCTATATAGAACTCATAGTGATATGGTCCTTTCATTCAACGAACATTCAACTAAGTCTAGGACATGATATTGTGTCTATTCCAATAACTTAGTTTCTGTCTCTCAGTCTTTCTAGATGATCCATAACGATCATATTCGATATCCAAAACGAATATATCTTTGCATTGGTCAATGACTTTATGATCCATCTAGATATGAGAAGTAGAATGTTCTCTCTTAATCTATTATGATGAATGAATCCTTTCTTGACTCAACTACTACTCCATGTGCTTCGTGATGCACCCAACACATGCCGTATCTACCCCGATTGGAGTGCAAGCGTTGGTCATGGTCAAAGTACATCACTCCACACATGTAGTACGTATTGACCTCAAGTCGGAGGACTATTACACTACTCTATACGCCGATAATCACATAGACACATGAATAGAACTTATCAAATGGTTTCTCAGTGAGTATGCCAATATTCTCTAAAATATCTATGTGACCATCATGTATTACAGGAACTCATAGTTGTGAGATCAACTATACTTTCTAAAAGTATGATGCAGTCAACATACCAATCTTATCGCATATCATCAATATTCCATTCTTGATGATCCTTGATTGGGGCTATTTTATGACCTTATGTTATATCATATAAGCTCCCACTTACTTATTGACAACATAAGTTCAAGGGAACACAATTATGAATAAGATATTGACAATCGAAATACTTAATCATCAATGTGTAATACTGTATATATTAAATATATAAAACTGAATGTCATCAAGTACATATATTTCTAAAAAGTGATCGTCGATAGGACATATATACTAACAAAAACAACATTTAAGTCGCTCTATTTCAACTTGCAATAGATTACTGTTTCCTCAGTTGACTGCCTCTTTTTTTTCAATCTCGGTGTACTTGCTTCCTATTTCGTTAAAACTTTAAAAGATGTCATCATAGATATATTTTCATCAAATGTCTACTCATTTCGTCATTCTAATAAACATATGGATGTTAGATACCTCAACAAAAGCAGCAGAAATTTACGATATATTGAAGATGAAAGTCTGGTCGATTACAACTGAACAGGAAAGAACAGAAAGACAAAGAAGAAATCAGAACAAGACACTTCGAGCAGTCCCCTCTCTCAAGTCGCAAGCCTAATTCCAATTTCTGCCTAACTTTCTTCTTCCTTTCTTCCCACTCTTATAGTAATTATATCATAACGGGCCAACCCATATTCTATGACATGGCCTAGAATCCTTATTTACACAATACCACACTTGTTTAATATCAATCTATTACTACTATTATTATCCTCTACAGCCCAGGGCCCTATCATATCTCCCCCCTCGACAACCACCTTGTCCTCAAGGTGGGTGATCGGAGACAACCTTAAGAGAAGTCAGAGCAAATAAGTGAGAGAAAGAATGAATATTCAATATGAATTCAGCGTGGTTTACAAATGGGGAAAGTTGTGCTATTTATAGCAGCAATAAATGCTAGATAAGGACACGTGTTAGCATTCTGGTGGTCGAGGGGTCACCTCAACCGTGGTGGCACTGGCACTCGCATGTGGCCGCATTAAATGCGGTGGTTGGATGTGACGTTTGTACTTGGTACGTTGATCCAGCGCATGTGGGTGGGAGATTCTGTCGAGGAGATGCCTTCGACTGTAGATGATTAGCCGAAGGCTCTTCATCCTGGGGGCCTTTAGGTGCCGAGGGCTCTAGGTGCTTAAAAGCAGCTGTACTGTAAGTTTATAAGCCTTCGGCCATGGGGGCCGAAGGTACCAAAGTGTATGTCGTGGGCTGCTTGGCACTTGGGGCGTTGTGATTTGGGCCTGCCGTGCTTCCTGGGCCTGTTAGGCCTTTGTTATAGTAGTGAGAGTCTATGGGCCTGGGGTCCCTGGGCCATATACTCTATCAATGCCCAAAGTTTCAACTTGAAGTTCAATCGGGATGTCGGTTAAATAAAATATTGAAACATACCGCGCTTTATGTATATAAATAGTGCACAGTATGTTTCAATAATTTATTTAATTTACTTGCCGGTTGAATTTTAATATGAAATTTGGTAAATATAATCTACACTTGGTAAAATTTGGTAAATTTTAACCAAAAAATTCCATCGAGAAGTACTTGTTAGTCACTTATATGGAGTCTTTAATCGAGATGTCTTTTATACGAAGTAAATTAATATATACAAATAATATATGACTATTCACATATGAAGTACTTGTTAGTCACTTCTGCACTCCCCTTGTTCAATTATTCCGAATTTCGAAAATTAAGCTCTCAAGTTTGAAGTTTTCATCTTTGGACTTTAGTTCGGTTCGATCAGCAATTAACAACATGCACTACTCTCCTAATTTCCTCAAGAATATCTTCCTAATTTCAAATTTCAGTAAAAGAGGTAATTCCTCAAAAAAAATTATATATATCTATAATTTTCATTCTTTTAGTTCATACAATCGTATATTTTAAGACTTTGATGAAAGAATTACATGACTTTGTATGCTGAAATTTGTGTATATATAGTTAGGTTTTTTCAAAATATTTATATAATCTTTTAAGGCGAGGGCCTTTTTTTCAAATTGCCCCGGGCCCATAAAATGTCAGGACCGGCTCTGACTAAAAAAAGGCTTCTTAGTGCATTGTGTTCAATTTAAACTTTTAAACACTTTCTCATTGTCTCCCTGCATTTAATATGGCAGGCCATTCATTTTTTCTTATGGTGTGTGTTCTGTTTTTCTTTGCAGAGCTTGTAATGGTGAACAAGGTGATTACGTATGACTTAGCAAATCAAAGGGTTGGGTGGACCCAATTTGATTGTAAGATTCTATTCAAAGAAAATAGATGCATTTTAGAAGTAATTCTTAGAACTCTAACTTTTACTTTTACAGGTTCCAAACCAATAAAGATTTCCACAGCGGTCAACAACACCAATTCCCACATCAAGATAGGGGCAACAGCCATAAATACATCATTCATAGTTTTCATAGTATCTCTATTTATAATATTAGGAATATCATTATACTTGTCTCGATAACGACATGTGAACTAGCTACTTAACTTATGCACTACAATTAGTTTAGTATGAGGCTGTGAGCAGCTATATTTTACTCCTCCATCCGACCAATTTTGGGACCAAGGAGGAGGAGGAGTTTTATATTACTCATAATTATTGTTAATAATACTCCCCCTCCTCCTACCAATTTTGGGACCAAGGAGGAGGAGGAATTTTGGGACCGGTTCGGTTCTGACCAACTGCACCAATTTTCCCAGCATTTCGACTCCGTTCGGGGGGAATCCTCGAATGCTGGTGAGACCCATACCGACCACATTACGGGTCAGGTCGAGCGGATCTCCCTATCCGACTCTGTTCATGAGGTTTTAGAGAGGGCTGGATCTACAGCGAGCCAGATCTGGTCTACCTCCTCCTGGTTCAACAACTTTTCCCTTCCTCAATTGCCGGTCGAGCAATCTGAAGAATGTCTGGCTCTGACTGCTCTGAAGGTATATTGTCTTTTGTGCTTTGTCTTTATTTTATTCTCTGTAACCAGCACTAATTCTCGAACGGTATTCTGTAGATGGGCTTGTACACCCTTCAGATGCGGGAGGCCCGCCTGGCCAAAGAGCGGGAACTGATTGTTGCCCAGTCTTCTGCTGAGCAACATGCTGCTGCTGCCATCGCCTCTCTGGAGGCCGAACGGAAAACCTTTGCGGAGGAAAAGCAGAGGCTGGATGCTGAAGTCGGTACCCTTTGGGTCCAACTCGCAGCCTCCCAGGCGAAGATCCTTGTCGCTGAGGCCGCACGGGTCAGATTCGAAGAACTGCCATCCAGTATCCCGGACGGTCCCTATGAAGTGAACGTGGATCTGTCCGCCGTCCGGGACATGTTTAAATCCTCCGATGAATTCTCCATCATCAAGGATGAACATGCAAGGGCCCAAATCCCGTTCGCCTTTGGGGCGTATTTGAAGGGTTTCCCCAAAGGAGCCGGTCGGCTATCGGCAGGGGTGGCCCTTTTGGATAAGGACCCGGAGGCCAAAAAATGGAATGATTCCATTGTCTCCGATCTTTATGGAAAAATTGGCCAGGTCTTGCTGCGCCCCTTCGTCACTCAGCTTCAAACTCAATTGGGGAGGCCGGTTCAGGCTTCTGATCTCCCCACAGATGACATCATCCAGGCGCAGTTCGAGAAATATCTGCGAGCCCAGCAACGGGAAGCTGATCGAGCTGCGGGAAAAGAGCCTGAACCCCCATCTGATGATGATGAGGATGAGGATGAAGAGGGAGATGACATGGCCCCCAGTCAATAATTCATATGTACTTTTTCATTACTTGTTGTAATTTTCTTTTTCTCTAAATAGCTTGTACTTCCCGGTCAGTAGAACCGACGAATATATATCCCTCTTTTGTCTGAAACTTTCTGTGCTGTCTTTTCTGTTTTTAATGCATGATTTACTCGTCATTCGGGATTCGGCCTGTTTTGTAGGACTTAGCAATTTCCTAACTTATTTCTTGCTCAAATATTCTTAATGCCGTTGATCGTCATTCGGGATTCGGCCTGTTTTGTAGGACTTAGCAATTTCCTAACTTATTTCTTGCTCACATAATCCTAACGCCGTTGATCGCCGTTCGGTTATTAGAAAGTTCTGATAATTTACTTAAGGAAAAAACCCCTTCCCCCTGGTACTCAGCCGTTCGGGCTTCATACCAAATTTCAGGACTTGGCACATTCTTGCTTTAGATAATCTCTTACAACTTGATAGCCGGTCGAGCTTTAGTTCAATCCTTAGGCTATCTTTTTATGACGTTGATAGCCGGTCGGGCTTCAGGTCAACTTTTAGGACTTAACAGTTTTCTTCCAGATAACCTTTTACAATACTGTTGGCCGGTCGGGCTTCAGGCTGACATTTAGGACTTGGCATTTTTCTAAACAGCAAGCCCCTGTGATCTTTGCTAATCCTCTGTAAGCCCGTTCGGGGTACGTGCATAAAAAATGAATCATAAATGCCCCAAATTAATCGTAACCACCCAATGCCACGTGTTGCTCATGGATTAGGGATTTGTGCGGCACTTTCCCTATTTATAGAGAGGTGCTTCCCCTAATTTCTCCTGCTGTTTTCTCATTTTTCTTTCGAGCTTTCTCTCTCTAGAATTCCTTTGCATACTCTCATGCCTTCTCTCTCTAGAGTTCCTAAATTTCCTCCAGCGTTTTTATGTACTACTCCTCTAGCTCAGAATCTGAAGAGATGCCTTTGATCCGCAAGAGCAAAACATCCGCTGGTAACCAGGCCGAAGGCTCTTCGTCTCAAACACCCAAACCCGCCAATCCTCAGGCCGGCAAACATACCGAACAGCCACAGGAGGATGGATGTCTGTCTGGAGATGACCTCCAGGTTTACAACAAGGGGATGCCCGAACGGCCACCCCACATTCCCCTACATTTCAATCGCATACGCAAACACAAACAACGTCTCCCAGAAGATGTTGAACGGCAACTTAGCCAGTTGTTGCCCCCACCAAGAGAATACTATGCCGGATTTATTCGGCACCCTATGAGGCACAGACCGGGGCACGTGCTAGTGCACCTCGATGCTCTGACTGCTGGACTTCGGTTCCCTCTCCACTCATTCATAGTGGAGTTCTTACGCCGGGTTGCTGTACTGCCTGCTCAGTTCGTGCCCAGCACCTACCGTATTCTGACGGGCTTCATTATCCGGTGCCACGAGTTGAGGATCACCCCGAGTGTCGATCTGTTCCTTTATCATTACTGCTATCAGCCCCACTGGACGACCGGGTACCTGAAACTGGTAGCTCGTTCTGACCGTCAGTTGTTCACAAAGAACGTTACCCCGCAGGCTGACTGGGAAGAGCGGTTTTTGTTCGTTCGGGTAGGTGATTCTTTGCCATTCCCGGACAGGTGGAACGCATACCCCGTTCGGGATTCCCTGCCCAGGGTGGATGCCGTTCTACGCTCCCAGACTGAGTCTTTGCGAATGGGAGGGACCAGAAGTCTTCGCAGCTTTGTCACTGCCTCGAGCATGTTATCTGCTGGAATCGGTAAGCATAGTAGGGTTTTAACCCGATCATCCTTCGCTCTCACAATTCAACTTCTTATTTTTTATTTCTCTTTCTTGTAGGTGTGATCTCTCCCATTCCCGTCCGGCGTTCTATCTCTTCTGCTAAAGGGAAAGAGAAGATGATAGCCGATCGTGATTCGACGGAGCAAACCCGCAAAAAGCGCAAAGGAAATGATGGCGATCACTTGATCCTGATCGACCATGTGGTTGACTTGACCGGGCCGGAGGTTGAGCCCAAAAGATCAGTGCCTGCCAACAAACAAAACCCGGTTCTTGCTGCCACACCGATCGATGATCGGATGTTTGTTGAATTTTCAAACATGGGGCCTAGATCAGAGGGGAGGTATCTGTTCGGGCTGATGCCATCTTCTATGTGGTGTCATACTGCGATCAAGGTTCCCCCGAGCTTCACCAACTTGACTCACTGGTCAGACCTTTTCGAAGCAGGTCACCAGGAAGCACTCAAGGTACGTTTCATCCCGACCCATGCCTTTCTACTATTCATGTTTTACCTTTTCTGACTTTCATTGTAACCTTGTTTTCAGGCTGGCGTGTATTATCACAAAGCCTTCCTTGCTGCTGAGAAGGAGATGAAAGCCCTGGCCAGTGATCGGGATGACGGCCAGGTCCTTCTTTCCGCCGCTCGGAAGTTAGCGACCGACCTCCAGGAGCAGGCCAAAGAGGGTGAGAAGGCAAAAGCTGCCCTGGCCGAGATGCAGGAGACGTCCCGTCGTCGCGACCGGGAGCTCAAAGAACTCCGAGCCAAGGTGCGGGCTGCTGAATCTGCTGGCATTAAATTTGATAAGGCTGTCGGAGATCATCTGCCCGAACCCTACACGGTCAAGACCTCTCAGATTGCTCAGCAATCGGTAGTGGATTTCCAACGGGGCAAGGCGCTGAACCTCGCTCTTGGGAACACGGCCCGACAATTCCTGGGTCCTCACCTTGGCCAATTTTTGCGTGAGAGCTCAGATCCCATCAAGGCAGGGATCGACCTCCTGGACAGCACGCCGGAAGGGAAATCTTTCTTGGATGTCCTGACCGAGAAAACCGTAAAGCAAAGTCAGGACCTGCTTCTGGATAGGAATCTTGAGCTGATCTTAGAGCGTTTCCCCAAGCCGTTCGATCCTGATGAACTAGGCTTCGATGATCTGTTCGGGAATACGTACGATCGCGTCATGGAGAAAAGATCCAAAGCAGCGCCTGACGATGCAGTGCAGGCAGGGAGCTCTCAGCCTACGTCCTCCCCGAACGGCGATCCTCCAGTAGTGTAGCCTTTCCTTATCTGTTGTCTCCTTTCTTGTATATTTGTTCTTCTTGTATATTCCGGCTAGTAACGCCGAAGAATAAACTGGACTTTTTTCCTTTGTCTGTTGTACTTTTTCTATTCCTTTGATTTTTTGTCCACAATCTTTTCTACATGGCCGAACCTCACTCGGCTTATGTATCTTTATATCTGACACCTTTTCCGAACCCATTTTGATCCCTTTTCCTGTTCGTGACGCACGGGTTCAAAACTCTTAGCTGAGGTGAATTCCTCCAAGCCGTTTTGATCGTGACCACAGGGTCAAACTCTCAGCTGGGATAGGGGCTCCCTTCAAACTGTAAACACGTTCGACATTCGGTCATCCGGAATGATTTCACGTGTTAACAAGCTGAGGTGAGACTCTCTTCATAATTGTTCTGACACCTTCCCGAACCCGTTTTGATCCCTTTTCCTGTTCGTGACGCACGAGTTCAAAACTCTTAGCTGAGGTGAATTCCTCCAAGCCGTTTTGATCGTGACCACAGGGTCAAACTCTCGGCTGGGATAGGGGCCCCTCCAAACTGCTAACCCGTTCGTCATTCGGTCATCCAGAATGATTTCATGCGTTAACAAGCTGATGTGAGACTCTCTCCCTACCAAACCCATAATTCCGATGCATTCCGAACCGTTCTCACTGGCTCGTATCATCCATATTAGGGGTCTGAGGTAACCCTTTTCGAACTGTAAGCAAGATCACCGAATTTGGGTCATTCCTTACTTATAGCTAAAAGGGCGACTAGCTTCCAAGTCAAGTTTTATGACTGAGGCGAGATTTTTCAAAACCATAGTTCCGATTCCCCGGGCGACAATCCGTACCTTATCCGAACGTCGCTCGGTTAATCCATATCTTACAGTCTTGACACCATCTCCAAGCCGTTTTGATCCCTTTGCCCGTACGTAATTACAGGGTCGACTTTGGCTAAGTTGACGACTCAGCTCCCTCCAAGCTGTTAACTCGTTCGTCATTCGGTCATCCAGAATGATTCTACGTGTTAACATGCTTAGGTGAGAATCACTGTCCTTCGAACTCCAGGCCATTTTGATCCCTTCATCAATGCGTAATTACAGGGTCAAAACTCTTGCTGAAATGTATGGCTTCCTCCAAACTGCTAATATGTTCGTCATTCGGTTTTCCAGAATCGATTCTCATATTAACCGCTGAGGTGAGACCTTCTGAGCGTCAAACTCCCAGTCGTTGGCTGAGAATGACTTTCCTTCCATGGAATTAACCCGTTCGTCATTCGGTCATCCGGAATGATTGAGTTAACCATGGGCACCGATTTTCTGAGCCTCAATTCTTCAAGCCGTTTTTGATCCCTTTATTCTTACATAATTCTAGGGTAAAAAACTCTCTAAACTGAGAATTGATTCTCCTTCCATGGAATTAACCCGTTCGTCATTTGGTCATCCGGAATGATTGAGTTAACCACGGGCACCAATTTTCTGAGCCTCAATTCTTCAAGTCGTTTTTGATCCCTTTATTCTTTCGTAATTCTAGGGTCAAAAACTCTCTAAACTGAGAATTGATTTTCCTTCCATGTTGTTAACCCGTTCGTCATTCGGTTATCCGGAATGATCGAGTTAATCATGGGCTGAGTTTGTGGAAGTTATGTCTCCCTCTCTATAATTTTTTTTTAGAGGTGGCAACAACCGTTTTTACTGATAAAATCTCCTCAGATGCTCCACATTCCAGGTTCCTGCCGGTCGGCATTCGGTATTTTGTAGGCCAAACGTTCATGAAGCATACTTCTTACATACTTGGTAGGGGCCTTCCCAATTTTGTGCCATTTTGCCCCCTTCGAGCGGTTTGCTTTTCTCTCTCTTTCTTAGTACCAGATCCCCTACCTCGATTGAACGAACTTTAACCTGCTTATCGAAGTATCTTCTTGTGGCTCTGTGATACTCTTCCATTCGTGCCGCTGCCAGATCCCTTCTTTCTTCTATGAAATGCAATTCGGTCCGTAAGTTATCTTCATTCTGTTCTGGGCTGTAATGCACCGTTCGGTGTGTGGGAACTAGGATCTCCGTTGGTA